AGAGGCTGAAATAGGCAAAGGAGGGCCTCCCCCTGGAGCCATGCTCTGATTAGACTTCTGCCCTCCTGAACTGTGAGAAAATGAATGTCCATTCTCTAAAGCCACCCACTTGAAGTGCTTCTGTAACAGTAGCGCTAAGAAACTAAAACATCCCCCTAAAACCTCCTGCATTCAGTCTTTGCCTCTGTGTCCACTTTCTGGGGAACCCGACCCGAGGCAGATGCATTGTCTCATTTCATCTTCATATGAACCCTGTGAAGGATTTTTCAAATCAGAATTTGTTTTCTTGCCCAAGTTTACAGATGTAGTAAGTAGCAGAGTGAGGATCTGAATCCATGTCTTGCTGACTTTGTTCTCTTTATCACTGCACGGTGTAGCTTTCCTGAGGTAGTGAGATTAGCCAAAATCAGCCCTGGGACACAATTCAATAGCCATCCCTCAGCCTTTAGTGAGTATAAATACAAGAATTATCCATTTAAACAGCATGACTGTGCTTTTTAAAAGAAAAATATGTAGTTGATACTGATGTTCGGTGCCTTGCACACAGACCCATGTGAGATGTTTCTGCTTGGGCTTAGTTCCAGAGGGGAAAATGTGGCTTTGCAGATAGATTTGCATATCCTCTCTTGCCAGAAATTTGAAATATGGAATCCATCAGACTCCTCTTTTGCTTTAGCTGCCAAGGACTTTAGGGCCAAATGTGGTCATTTCCCTATCTCAGTCCTTGATACTATTTACTCCTTCTGCTTCACACATGCTTTCATTCTGACCAGAACTCACATTGTCCATTGTACTTTACTAAGACCCCATTCCATAGGGTGGATATAAACCATAGTATTTGTGTGCATTTGAGGAGATAATCATTGTCTGCTAAGCCCTTAGCTTCTGAATGAGAAACTTCTTTACCCATAGCCTTAGATCCTCTGGCAGCCGGACAAGGTCTGATGTGACCCTGCCTTCCCTGGCCATTGCCTATTGGACCACAGCTGGGCACCAGATCCCAGGATCAGCCAACAGGTCTGATGTGACTTGACAGAGGGAGCTCTGTCAAACTAACATACTGCTTACTGCCTGAATCCATTAGTTCCGTCTTTGGGGAATTGTACAGTTTTTTGCTGCTTGATAGTGAGGTTGTTCTTGTTGTTAGGTGCTGTTGAATCATCTCCAACTCATAGCGACCTTATGTACAACAGAATGAAACAAACACTGCCTGGTCCTGTGCCAGCCTCATGATCCTTGCCATACCTGAGCCCATTGTTGCAGCCACTGTGTTGATCCATCTTGTTGAGGGCTATTTGAACAATTTATCTTAGTAAGATCAACACAAGGCCAATCCCCAAGAGGCAGAGGTTAAAGATGACCCAGATGTCCAAACTACTGTGCCACTCCATCGTTTCAGACATGAACTCCTCCTCCTCCTCTTAGTAATCTCCCCTCCATCTTAAGGTTCTGTATTTCACTGTGACATTTCACAGAATTCACAGACACCCAAGAGATCATCTCACATAGTGGTGGTAGAGGCTGGGAGGCTGGCAGGCTGGCAAGTCCCAGGTCTGTAAGTAGATCTGGAGGATCCTCCCACTTCTCAGGGTTTGATGAACCTAAATCAGCAGATCAGATGACGGCTGCTGTCTCAAATCCCCACATCCAGGGGTGAGATGATGATGTGCCAAAATGCACAACTGGAGCAAGAGGGGGAGCAAACCTTCCCAGGATAATCTTGTATATACCTTCAAGGAAGCTAAGGATTGTGATTTGAGTTACACCCTCCAGCAAGGTGGGTCTCAAGATACATACCACCTGTGCTGCTCCAACAGAAATACCCCAAGTGGATGACTTTAACATCAGGAGTTTAAAAGCAGCTACTCAGTTGCTCATGGCAAATTCCACCATGGAGCAGATTGTCAGTCATTGTAGGAGATAACTACTACCAGCTGCCCAGCCAAGTTGACATATGACCTTAACTATCACACCACCCTAAACAGACATGGATAATAGAATCTACAATTCATCACAAAATGGAGGACAGTGGCTAGAAGGGCAACATCAGGTAATTCACCACAAGGCCCTTCCCCTTCTTTGTTGACCCTCCACTTTACCAAACATGACATCCTTCTCCAGAGAATGGTCCCTTCTGACCACATGACAAAAGTAGGTGAGACGAAGTTTGGCCATTCTCTCTTCCAAGAAACATTCCAGCTGTACTTCTTCTAGGACAGATTTGTTAGTTCTTTTAGCAGTCCATGAGAGAGGTAGACTTAGACAAGCTGAGTCACATTTATTGTAAAAACAATTTTAAAATGCTCACTGCTGAGGTCCCTTGATCAGCCATGAATCTAGACTCACCCTCTAGTTCTGTATTTGTGAAGCCTGATCTTATCTGGGCTCTTTTTGTACATTTGCTTTACTGCTGTATGTATGTAGTTACCATTTACATACAATATATGAGCACTCTAAAAAGGTTTCTATCCTTTGTCCTCCCCAAAAAAATGTGTATGTGTGTGTGTATAATATGTGTCTGTGTGTATGGCTATAATATATGTATATATATATATATACACACATATGTGGATTAATGAAGAGCATATCAGAGCAAAGATTACAATGCTAAGGTCTTTTCTTTGGCCTACATAAGCTTTCAAGAACAAATTTCAATCATCATTTAAAAGCCAGTTGATAAAAATAAAAATCTGAATTTTCAACCTCTTTCAAAGAAAATCAGAAGAGCTGGCACCACTGAACATTGGTGCCATGTGGCAAGAACTGGTTGGTGCTGTGTCATAACTGTTCCATTCTGATGGAGCCTGCAGTGTCCAGTTCACCCCAAACTCCACTTTTCCCTCTTATTTCCCAACATGGAGGGATTGTTTTCACTGCCTGGTGCTGCTGTTTTCCTTAGGGCTTTTAGAGATTCCATTGGCCCAATCTCTCTCTCTTTCCAAATCAAAATGAGAAACAAAACAAAAGCCAGCCCAGGAGGGTTAGGTGATATCCCTCTTAGACTCAGCCAGTCCTTCCTGTTGCTGACTCCTGTGGGCATTAAGGGTCTCTTGTTCGATAGGGAATACCTGGGTAACAGGGATATTAGCTGTTTTTGTTTCTTTTAAAATCTAATATTTAATCATTCTTTATTAAAACAAATCAAGCATCAGCCAAGCATTTTGCCTACATTAATTGTTTTCATTCTCACAATAAATCTATGATCTGAGTTTGTAATTCTTGTGTGTAGATGAAGTAAGCAAGGCCAACAGACTGAATGAGTTAGTCACACAGGTAGTAAGAGTGGAGGTAGCATGTGAAGCCATGCTACCTTGGTCCTATGGTCCTAACTCTTAACCACTATGCTGAACTGTCTCCTGCCTGACTTATCTCTGTCTCTTTTGCCTCCGGACACCATGACTGGCATATGAGAAACACTCTGCATATGTCTGTAGACAAGTGAAAATAGGTGATCTTGACTGGGGGATTGTATGCACCTGTCTGTGTTCCTGGCCTATAGCACCAGCAGTAAGACACATCTGCACCCTAAAACTGGGGAGAAAGTAGCTGTCTTTCTTTCTTTTCACCCACAGGGAGCAGCTTCGTGGTAAGTGAAGGGAGCTACCTGGA